TCTCTCCCTATTTATTTCAAAACCCCCTTCCCCTCCCCCTTTTCTGATGAAGGGTCTAGGCCCGAAACGTCAGCCTCTCTGCTCCTATGATGCTGCTTGGCCTGCTGTGTTCATCCAGCCCTGCACCTTGTTGTACCTGATTTTTTTGTTTACTTATGTTGTGAAAATTCCGCATCGTTTTTAGACCCTTCCTCTTTTTTTCCAATGTTCTGCGATTTCTAATGCTGATATAGTATTATTATTGACCGTTCAAAGGTGTAACTGGTCTTTTCCTTGAATCTCTGCAATATACGAAGAGAGCCTCTGCTTTCCTCGTTTTAGTCTGCCAGATTATATCCTGTTACCTGTACTGTGGAGCCGGTGTTGGACTGGGATGGACGAGGTCAGAAATCACACGACACCAGGCTATAGTCCAACAGGTTTATTTGAAAACACAAGCTTTCTGAGTCTTACTCCTTCAGATGTTACCTGTTTAATAAACATAAAGAACTGCGGATGCTGGAAATCTAGTCAAAAAAAACTAGTGCTGGAGAAATACAGCAGTTCTGACAGCTGCCTTTTGTTTACAGATGCCACTAGACATGCTGTATTTTCCTAGCACTCTGTTTTTGTTCGTATGACCTTTGTTCTGTTTTACTATCTTCTTCCTGTCTGCTTGTCTGGGTTCTCCTCACAATTATTCATTCTGCCTACTTTAATATTAATGTTCATGTTCTGTAATTTCAGTTGGTAACGTATGTGTAGATATGATTTGATCTGATCCCAACACACCTCACTCTTTACATCTGAAGAAGGGTCACCAGACCCGAAATGTTAACTCTGTTTTTCCCTTCACTGATGCTGCCAGACCTGCTGAGCTTCTCCAGCAACTTTGTTTTTGTTTACTCTTTACATTCCTCTATTCTGGAGAAGATCCATTATACTGCAACTCCATATTTTGTCCTTGAAACATCTTCCTGACACTTCCTTCAACTCCTAGGGTATTGTACCATGCAGTACTTTTGAAATTCATAAATGCAACTTGTGCTGCATTTATTTTGTCATTATTCTTTTAATTTCTCAAAATATGGATTAATTTATACATAGACTAATAATCTGAAGAATACAGTTCCCATCCTGCTAAAATAATGTTAGAATTTGATTTTTGTTTATATTAAAAAAAAGTCTGGACTTAACAATTCAAAAGCTGCACTTTTTAAAATCAAAATCCAATTAGTTTGCAAATGTGCCTTTTAGGGAAGGAACCTTGTCCTTATCCAGTCTGGTCCCATCTGGTCAATCTGACTCAAATTCCGCAACAATGGGGTAGACGAGCCACTTAATTGTTTCATTCAATGATTCAGGAAGGTAGCTCACCACCTTTTTGGGGCAGCTTGGGATGGGTAATAACTACTGACCTTTTCAATGGTACCCACAGCCAAGAAGGAACTAATTATAACTTTTTATCTTTATCTTTTAGGTAGCAAACAGAAGTGATGGCTATGTTTCGTACTGGTATTCTTGTTTTAACATCTCCAATTTCCCTTATTCCATCGCGCATTGCTCCTGTTTTGGCAGCAACTGCAAAAATTGTTAAAGACATTTTATATGTTCATTTACATCCAGGATTGGGATTTACTGGAAATTACATTCAAACCAAACCAGCGTTCATAGCAGCAAACCATGAAGTTTCTCAACTACTAACTAACCTTTATACAAAAAGTTCTTATGTGTGCAGTCATCTGGACGTCAGAGTTGTTCTCTCAAATGTTAAAAATCACACTTCAACACAGCAGCCATTTTCATCTGTCCACATGTTGTCTGAACCACCAGAGGTAGTTTTAACAGACTACAGAATTATAGATGTTAGCCAATCCAATTTATATATGCAGTGTTTGGAAAAATACACTCTTGGCTGTTACACTTGCAAACCCAATTTGAGAGCCATTTTTTTACCACCCGGAATAGATGGTACAGAGAGTGCTTCCTGTTCTGATGTGGAAGACTCCAGTTTATCTGAAAAGATTCCGTGTTTCAACGATGTTGTCTTAGGTGGAACTTTTGACAGACTTCATTCTGCTCACAAGATCCTTCTCAGCATGTCATGCCTGCTTACAGGAAAGCGTTTATTAATTGGGGTAGCTGATGGAGATCTGCTTAAAAGTGAGTATTATCTTTAGCTAAAACTCCTCTATGTAATAGTCTGGGTACAACATGTGTTCTATGGATAATGTGCCATTTGCATCTGTGATAAATTTGAGCATAAATATGGCTGGAAAAGCACTATAAGCAGATTAGTTATATTTTATTTGTTGTAAAGGTACTAGATTAGTTGGTGCTAGGTAATAGTTTTGAATGGAATAAAGGATACTCGGGGATGAACAATTTCTGCTGTTGCATTTCTGACATTCAAGTTTCAGACATCTGTTATTTTAAACATAACTTGTTACCCTTGGGTTGCCGCTTGTCTTAAACAAAAAATGCAGTAAATGTGAAAAGTCTTTAATTGGACGAGCAGCAAGCATGGGAGAGGCAGAGCTACTAGTTGGACATTATGGCCTACCAAACCTAGGTATATAATTTGGTAGGGAAATCTGTATTCCTAATTTTTCTGAATTCTTTGAGCACATGACATTTTTAACAAAATATATTTTATTCATAGAACTTGTAAAAGTACATAAGAGTCATTTCCACCTGAAAATTACGAAATTTAAAGCAAAATTCACCTTGTTTCCGTACAACATGTTCCAGCCTTGGATAACTCAACACAAGTGTATAGTCTTAACATTTAAAATGTATACTTTACTTCAGACATACAGCTCAAGGGAAAACAATTTAGAATCCTAGAATCCCTGCAGTGCGGAAAGAGGCCAATCAGCCTGTCAAGTCTGCACTGATCCTCCAAGCACCCAGACTCGGCTCTCCACCCTATCCCCGTAACCCTGCATTTACCATGGGTAAACCACCAAGCCTGCTCAACCCTGGACAATATGCAGCAATTTAGCATGCCCATCCACATGTTTGGACCATAGAAGGAAACCCAAGTCTGGAATCCAACCCAGTTCCCTGTGAGCAATCAGTGCTAACCACTGAAACACTGTGCTGCCCATATTTTCAAATTGATAATTTTAGAAAATTCATTAGAAATTTACTTTTATGTATGGACAGGAAGACATTGCGATATTTTCACTGCATTAATACTCCAGAATTGCAGTAATAGTCTGAGTTCCAGGTTTGGATACCACCATGGTAGATGGTGGGATTTGAACTTTGTAAACAAACATCTGAAATTAAAAGTCCAATGAAGACCATGAAACCATTGCGATCAAACCCATGTGGTTCACTACTGTCTCTTGGGGAAGGACATCACTATCCTTTTCACTATCCTTACCTGGTCGGGCCCATGTATGACTTCAGATCCAGACCAATGAGGTTGACTCTTAACTGCCCTGTGAAATGACTTAGCATGCCATTAGCTACATAGATACATGGAAGATAGGAGCTTTCTCCCCATAACCTTTGATCCTATTTGCCCCGAGTGCTATATCTAGTTGCCTCTTGAATACATTCACTGTTTTGGTATCAACTACTTCCTGTAGTAATGAACTCCACAGGCTCACCACTCGCTGGGTGAAGAAATGTCTCCTCATCTCCGTCCTAAATCATCTATCCCAAATCCTCGTGTTGTGACCCCTGGTTCTGGACAGACCCACCAATGGAAACATCCTCCCTAAGTTGTATCAACTGCTAAAAAATCTCAAGATCTGGCCTTGATTTGGGCACCAGAAACAACACTGGCAAATTCAGCCATATGGACCCTGTAAAACTTTCCTTCCTGTATGGGATTGGTTGGGAAAACTCTCACTTTGTCAAACAGCACGCTGTCATAGTCATACTGATGTAATCATACCTGGCAGACAATGTCTCAGATACCACCATCACTAACCTTCGGTATGCCTTTTCCCACCAGTAGAGTTGACCCAGTACAGTGGCAGCGCAATGATATACTTTTGGGAGGGAGCTGCTAAGGAGTCTTCAGCATTGACTGTGGACCCCATAAAGTTTTGTGGCATTAGGTCAAACATGGGCAAGGAGACTTCCCACTGATCATCACTCCTATCTTCACCCTACCGTCCCCAAAAGCCATCACTACCAAACCAGCTGATGAATCAGGATACCCCTGTGTTGAACGTGGAGAAAGCACTGAATGTGGCAAGGGTGCAGAATGTACTCTGGATGAGGACTTAAATGTCCATCATCAAGAGTTCCTTTGCAGCACCACAACTCACTGAGCTGGTCAAGACCTAGCTGCTGGACTAGCTGTGAAGCAGGTGATGAGGGAGCTGCCAAAACTTGTGTTGTTTTCCTTGGAGCAGAGATGGAGCATGATTGAGACGTATAAAATTATGAGGGGCATAGACAGGAAGGAACTTTTCCCTTTGGTGGAAGGATCTATGACGAGTGGGTATAGATTTAAGTTAACAGGCAGGAGGATATAAAGAAAACTTTTTCACCCAGAGGGTGGTGGGAATCTGGACCTCACTGCCTGTAAGGATGATAGAGGCAGAAGCCCTCATGGCATTTAAGAAGTACTTAAATGTGTTCTTGCCATGCCAAGGCATACAAGGCTATGGGCCAAGTGCTGGAAAGTGCGATTAGAATAGTTAAGTGCTTATTTTAGACCAGCATAGACTACATGGGCGTTTTTCTGTGATGTAGACCTCTACATCAATGACTTTAAAAGGGGAAAAATATGTTTGACGTCATCCACAACAATCTGATGCAGACGCATGTCCACAACAGTATCAAAAACAACAATAGGTTAAGTAAGTGGCCAATCAGTTAGTAAATGAATTAGAATGTTGAAAATTGTGAAGTTATTCATTTTGGAAGGGAAAACAAAAGAACAAGGATATTATTTAGATAGACAGAACTGCAGAATTCTGCAACACAAAGGGGGTTGGGGGTACTTGTGCACGAAACGCAGAAAGCTAGCACTCAGGTGCAGCAGATACTCTGGACGGCTAAGGAAATGTTGGCCCTTATTTCAAGCGAGTCGGATTGTAAGAATAGGGAATTCTTTCTGCAACTGTACAAGATGCTCGTGAGACCACATCTGGAGTACTGTGAGCAGTTTTGGTCCCCTTACTGAAGGAAAGATCTCATTTCACTGAAGACATTTCACAAAAGGTTCACTAGGACAGTCCCTGGTACAGAAAGACTGTCATATGAGTAGAGGATAAACAGGTTTGGACTGTACTGACTGACGTTTAGGAAAATGAGAAGTGAACTCGTTGAAACATTTAGGATTCTTAAGGGGTTTGACAGGGTAAATGCTGAAAGGATGTTTCCCTTCAGGGAAGAGCCTAGGACCATAGGGCATAGCCTCAGAATGAAGGAGCACCAATTTAAGACTGAGGTGAGCAGGAATCTCTTCTGTCAGAGGGTTGAGAGTCTTTGGAACAAAGAGCTATGGGGACAGTATCTTGTGATGAGGTGAGATAGATGGATTCCTGATCAGTAAGGGTGTCGAGAGTTACAGGGAAAGTAGACGTGAAAAATATCAGATCGGTCATGATCTTGTTGAATGCAGAGCAAACTCAAGGGACTAAATGGCCTACTTCTATTCTTATTTCTTACAGTCTTATTAAGAGTGGCCATCACACAGTCCTTGTGGAAATGAAGTTCCATCTTCACATTGAGGATACCCTCCATTGTTTTGTTTAGTGACTGCTGAGAGAATGTTTCTTCTTGTGGCGGAATCTAGAACCAAGGGTTACAGTTTCAAATAAAGGTCTCCCATTTAAGCCGGAGATGAGAAATTTCTGACATTTGTTAGTCTTTGGAATTCTTTTCTACAGTGAGTAGTGAAGTCTGGGTCATTTGAATATATTCAATTTTAAGTTAAACCGATATCTTATCTGCAAGGAAGGTTAAGCGATATGGGTCAGGTAGAAGAGTGCAGCTAAATCTACAGTAAGATCACCTGTTAACTTATTGATTGGGAAAAGCAGGCTCAATGAGCCAGATGGGCGCCTCCTGTTATTTTTTATAATCATGTCAAATTGGGTGCTTCTATTTAACCTTCTGTGATAACTTGAATGATGAACAAAGCAACTCTTCTAAATTATGAGCAAATGGTTTGTGGAAGATAATATGACAATTGCATGTTATTGAGGCAGGTAATTATCCTTTTAAGGGTTTTATAACTTGCAATTTTCATTGAAGGTAAGGTGCTGAAGGAGCTGATTGAACCTTATCAAGAACGTGTGGAGAAGCTGAGGAAGTTCCTTCTGGATGTGAACCCTGCTGTACAATATGACCTTGTTCCTCTGAGAGATCCCTATGGACCAGCTATTACCGATCCAAACTTAAATTGCATTGTGGTTAGCGAAGAAACCCAAAAGGGTGCAGAAGCAGTGAACAGAAAACGACAAGAAAATGTAATGTATACAATGAAGGAAATGTCTAGAATCTAGTACAGCTGCAACAATTTGAATTTGAGCAGTTCCTTTAATTAAAATGTTACAGGGCATTAGAGTTGAATATTCAATCATCACCGCCTCAGTGTGTAAACATAATACATTTAAGGATGATTTTCAACATAAACTATCTTGCAATTTAATTCTGAAAATGATATTTTTTAAGAAATTTGGAAAACAGTGTCTTTCCACCTTCTGCATGTACTTCCTTAGTATTCTGGGAAGGGGTGCAGAAAATATCTGCCTTTAAATCTAAAAGTTTGTGCTGTTGAAACATTTAAAACTAAAAGATTTTTAATTTTAATCTGCATATGACAGTAACAGTTGACAACATTTATGGGCCAGGATTACAATTTGAAGGCACAAGCCATTTGAGAATTTTAAACTTGAGGGGAAAAATTGACTGAAATATAACTAAAATGTTGAAAGTATACAACAGGTCAGTCATCAATGCAAGGGGAATAATGGTGATGTTACATATCGATTCATTGGTACCTGATATCTGAATGAAAAATAGTTAATTGAAAATACACTGTTGTTCCTGTTTGGGACTCAAGACCAAATTACAAATCAGATGTTAGAAAGGATTATAAGGTCAATTTTGAGCCGAAGTAGTGAGGCAATTGTGTCACATTTTAAACTATTGGTGTGACTTGGTACAGCTTGATCACCACAAAACGTAAAGATTACTGCAATGGACAAAAAGCAACGAGATGAACTGAGAAGATAGATGGATTGAATTTTGAATTATTATGTAAATTAAGCATTAACTAACTAGAAAAGTGAAGATATAGTTTTTCTTTCATATTCTAAAGGGAGTAGGTTATGTAGACCATGACCAGCTATTTGACATCGCAAAGAGTAATGGAATCGGAGGACATGGCCTGTGCTTGACATTGTGCAGGGGTGGGGGCTGGGTGGTGGTTGTGTGTGAGATTAGGTGGTCAATCATGATACCGTTCTTTCCTGAGAAAGAGATGGTCAAAACAATTAATATTGATTCAGTTAAATGCAAATTAGTTCAATTGCTTTTGAGTGTATACTGCTACTACTTTGCATATGATGGGAAAAGCTGTTAATGGGATTTCTGGATTGGCTATCATTCAGTGGCCTCCTGAAATGTTGAGTGAAGAAATTAGGTGTCTGCTGCATTTGATTTTGGTATTCAGGTTGATGGGATGTGTTCCATAAACTGAGAGTCATAGGTTGTACGATCTCCGATAGTCCCTCATTTTCCACTTATGCGGGAGCAAAGTAATCTGGGTGTATATGTGCCTGAGACATTGAAGGTGTTAGGACAGGTTGAGAGTGCAGTTAATAAAGCACAGAAATAGGGCCATATAGTACAAGAGCAAGGAGGTTACATCAAACTTGCTTAAACACTGGTTCGACCTCAAATGGGGTACTGCATCCAGTTCTGAGCGCTGCTTTTTTAGGAAGGATGTGAATAAATTGAAGTGAGTGCAGAAATGATTGAAGAGAATTGTTCGAAAGATGAGGAACTTCAGTAACAATGATAAATTGGAGAAGTTTAGATGTTTTTCTTGGAGAAAAGAAGGCTGATAGAAAATTTGAAAGAGGTATTCAAAATCATGAGGGTTCCAGATAGAGTAGATAAGGAGAGACTGTTCCCACTCATGAAGGGATTAAGAGAAAGAGGGCATAAATTTAAATAATTGGTCGATGCAAAAGTGCCATGAGAAAAACCTTTATGTGTAGTATTAAGTTAGGATCAGAAATATACTACGTGAGAGTGTGGTGGAGGTGGGTTCAATTGAAAAATTCAAAAGAGACTTCGACTGCTATCTTGAAAAAGAAGAATGTGCAGAATTTCCAGGAGAAATTGAGAGAATGACACCAGTGAATTGCTCATTCAGAAAGCCGGTACCGACGTGATGGGTTAAATGGCGGCTTCCTGTGTAACAAAGCAATGATTCTATGATTTACCCATCTCTAGTGTCGATTTGGCAGAATGCCATCCACAGATTTTGCAAGTGGCCAAAGCACCTCTGATGTTGATTCACTGAGGTGTTGGTTCTTCATACTGTATGCATTCCATGATTCCATCCATTTGGATCTTGGGTTAGAACCAGTTCTGTGAGTATTAGCTACTTTTGCACCAGATTGTCTAGCATGATTTTAAGTACTTGGTGGATTTTTCACATCTATATCAGTTGGAAGGTTTAGATTATGCATAATTTTTTGATCTTTCATGGAACACAATGACATTGTGACAAATGGCAGGTGAGGAAATGTGAGAAAGCATCAGGAAACATTCAGTTAAGTGGACTTGAACATCCCTTGATGCTACTGTAATAGCAAATTGTAGCTACATGTTCTTTCTATGATGGCTTCAGAACCATGAAGCAGAGCAATATTCTGGAGCAGAATATCAGATTGAGGTATTGTTGCAGTGTTCTGGTTGTCCTCCCTCCATGACACTCCGGCAAGTTGCGGGACCACATTCGTGCTGGCTTTTACTTTTTGGTCAGTGTGAATGAGACCAGACTGCTAGGTGAGAATCCTGTCCAAGGAGTTTCCCAAGTGTTTCAGGTAGGGATCCAAATTACCATGCAAAGAGAAACACAAAAGTTATTTCCTAGCAGCAGTATGGGTGAAGACTGCATGTTTCTGCAGTTTCCTTGTGCACATATATAATACTGCACTTGTTTAAGATAATATTATTTGCTAGTAATGAGTCAAATTCACCAGAACATTTGAATTTTGTTAGTCGTCAACCATTGTCTACAGTCTTGCAGATTATAATTGATAAAAAAAAGAGTAGCAGCAACTCTAATTTGAACCCTGTGGAACATGACTCGTGAAAGATCTGCAAGTGCATCTACTTTTGTGTGAGCTTTTAAGCAGTTCTCAGGCAAGTGCTGTAGAATGTTACTGTTACCAAATGTTCTGTAGAAAATAGCTTGTGTGGTCCCTTTTTAAAAAGCTGGAAATCTGGGAGACTTTCATATTAGGCTTTTTTTGACCATAACTTGGTGGCTCCTCCCAAAAAAAAAGTTACATTAGTACCAGTACTTTCATTTGGAAGCCATATTGTGTGTCCCTGAAATGTTCCTTTTCTAAGTTGTCATTAGTTATATTATCAAGCCTTTTCCCTGTTACTGCTGTTAAATGATTTAGAATATAGCTTGCAAAGTCCATCTTAGCTCCTTTCTTTGAAGTGCATTAGCCTCCATCCAATTTAAGGGTCAGTCCTAGACTATTTAAAAAATATGAACAAATGTATACACAGCTCTTGTATTCTCTCCGAGAACCCTTGAACGAATATCATCTGGACCCGTGACCCTGATGATTCTATAGTTCATGGCTCTATCAAAAACATATGTGCATATGTTTTAATATTAACTGTTAAATTGTTAACGCCATTGAATTCTGACATTTGAGCATCAAGGAATTAATATCTCCTACCCACCTTAAGAGCCCATCATTTGCTCTTCTCAAAGATCCTTCAATGGTGCAAAAATATCTTTAACAATTCAGATTATTGAAAAGTTTCTTTAGACCATAAGATGCACAATGAGAAACAGGCTATTTGGCCAATTGGGTCTGCCCCACCATTCAATGAGATCCTGGCTGATCTGATAGTCCTCAATTCCACATTCCTGCCACGTCCTCCTAACCCTTGATTCCCTCTGACTAAAAATCTGCCTATCGCAGCCTTGAATATTCTTAATGACTTGATTTTAGGAGGTTTGTAATCACAATTACCTAATACAGGCAATTGATATTTATTGTAACTTTCTGATAGTTTATTGAGAAACAGCAGTGCAATAGTTTTGATATAGTATATTAGTTAAATAGGTATAGAAAGGAAATATACAACCTGTAACAGATGAGAACATTTTACTGATCCTGGAGTGGTTCTGTAGAATGGAGGGGTAGAGGCTGCGCACTTCCACGTCCCATGATGTTTTTATGGGGGTCCTGATTGTCTTCAGTGGCCTTGGTACTTTGTTCTTTAGAGTCTTTCAGCACAGAAACAAACCCTTCAGTCCAACCAATACTTGCTGATCATAATCACAAATTAAACTAAACTAGTTCCACCTCTTTGTAATATTACATAATTTTAGATAACCTGGCCCATATCCCTCCAAACATTCTTTATTCATGTGCTTTTCTAAATGTCTTTTAAATGTTGTAGCTGTACCTGCATCCACCGCAATCTCGAAGTTCATTCCACATGTGAACCACACTGTTTAAAACAAAAATGCCCCTTGTCTTTTTTAAAATCTTCTCTCATCTTAAAAATAATAATAGTCTTGAAATTCCCCACTCTAGGGAAAAGACACCTGCCATTCACCTTATTTATACCCTTTACGATTTTATAAATGTCTATAAGGTCACCTGTCAACCTCCTACATTCTAGTGAAAAAAGTGCCAGCCTCTCTCATATCTCAAACCCTCCATTACTGGCAACATTCTGGTAAATATCTTCTGAACCCTCTCCAACTTAATGATATCATTCCTATAACAGGGTGACCAGACCTGGATACAGTACTCATGAAGAGGTCTCGTCAACATCCTGTACAACGTCAGATTGATGCCCAAACTCCTATATTCAAAGCTTTGAGTGATAACGACCAGCTTGCTAAATGCCTTTTTAACAACCCTATCTGTATGCGATGCAAACTTCAAAGAATTATGTACATGAACCCCTAGGTCTCTATTCTATAACACTACCCAAGGCCCTATTTTTAATTGTATAAGTTTTGCCCTTGTTCCTGTTACAAAAATGTAATACCTCTCAATATCCAAGTTATCAATCATCCGCCACCCTCAGCCTATTGACCCAATTGATGAAGATCCCTTTGTAATCTTACATAATTTTAGATAACCTTCTTCACTGCCCACTTTGTTCTACCCTTGGACTGATGTAGGAGAACTGCTGGACTCCCCCCACTGCCTCTGTGGCAATGGTGTAGCTTGCCTTATAGGATTAT